GGAAAGAGCCCATCTTGCAGTGGGGTCATTACCACAAATGAGACAAATTCTGCTGCCATTGTTTCAACTAAGAACACAACAAAGAATTCCAGAAGACGCCCGTGTGCCAGACACCTAAAGAGCTCAAGGAGTAGGGGAGAATGAAGGAGTTGCATAGAGATGGACTGAGAGAAACAAAGAAATCCTTAACAAAAACAAGCAAACAAAAAAACCTGCCTGCATAGGTTAAATAAAGTTTGAAAATGCTAAAACACAGTTGCTTTAAAATATTTCTACTGAAAATTCAAATTTGATCCAGCTTTCCATTTGAGAGTCGTTCTGTTTTAATTATACCACTTTATTTTAAAAGTGCCCTAATGATTTCAAAGAATGCTATTTTGCTTTTTGCTCTTATATAATATTTTCAAATTAGAAATTCAAGTTTTGTCTTGCTTCTAAGGCTATGTGGGAAGTTGAATTAAAACACGACAGATCTAAGGGCAATTGAAAATTAGCCTATAGAGAACAAGACATTTAGCTCTTTAGGCATATTAAGTGTTTTTTGAACAAATGCTTAACTCCAATGATTTACAAACATTTTAGAAAAATATTTTGTTACAGATTCAAACCATTCATCTCTTTCAAATAATGTGCAAATATGAAACCACTTCTGAAATCACAAAGAAGTCAAAACCCAAAGATGACAAGACTTGATATCCCTAATGTTTCTGAAGGGGAGGAAAGCAGGATTATTTTTTTTTTTTTTATAATTCTAAATTTCTTGTTCATACATTAAAAGAAATGCACATTTTAGTAAACTTTTTCAAGATTACCTTTGTAGATCCATACTGTTTGAAAACATATTTTTATATATATAAATATAGATTAAAATAAAATTAAAAACCCAGACAAAAATATTAAACTTGGTTTTGTATGCTGAGGAACCAGATATTCAAATAGAGGAAATACTATAGTTTAAGACAAAAATCACCATTTCAGACATGTTATCTAGTGTCCGGCCTTTCATTTCATCCATTTCACTCTTTACTGCAGATACTCTTTCCAGCTCCTCCTGGGTGTAACTGTATCCAGAAATACCTTTCTTGTCTTCAACAGCTTGCTGTAGGCACAAAAAGTAAATGCTGAATGTGAGTCCATTCATCAAGTAACACAGCAAATTCCTTCAGAGAGCCAAAATATTGTAAGAAAGTGGAAAAGGTAAGTACTGTTATCAATTGATGATTTTAAAAGTGATTAATAATCTAGCTGCCCCAACAACTAACTTTTTGTCTAGTGCCCGCACAGTAGGGTAATAACAACTTTCTGTAAATACACTGTTTGGTCATCCAGTGCCCAAGGAAATTAACAGAAAGTTTCCACAAAGTAAAGTGGGCTTTAGGTCAGGCTCTGAAGAAGTTCAATATGTAAAATCCAGATGCTTAATCTGAAGATGTAGCTAATTGTTTTTTAAACAACTGTCAAGCAAAACTAACTAAGTATTGTATTCATTATAGTGATACTAATACCATCTTACCAAATCCTGGCATTGCATTACATAAACTTTACATTTAACTATATGTTGATGTAATGGTCTTTAGCAATGCTTGCTCATTAAGTATGTAAGGAGGGTATTTTCTGTAATCTGAAAGCTAAATGTTGATTAATGCATCCACAATTTGTTAAAAAGCAAAACATTCATTCTTAAAAGCACCGTGTATCTATGATCTCCAAGTCCGTTACCCTCAAAATCCTTTTGCAACCGTATGTTTAAGAAAAGACTTGCCTCTACTAGTGGCTACTGCTGCCATGACGGGAGCATTTTGCAGGCTGTAACAGCAGTGTGTTGTTTGACAGGGCTAGAAAAGGTACCTTTGATTCTACGGGGAAAAAGTGTGCGCCAGTCATCTGGCGGTAAGAGCTTCCTGAAGCCAAAGCTCTGTAGTTTTACTATACGGTAGCTTAGAAAAGGTCAGACCTGCATGAGAATATACTGTTGACCATGTGTAGCCACTTCACGGAAAAACTTCTAGTGCTTTGTCTCTGCTGCGGTTTTCCTGTGGGATGGCTAGCGTGTGATAGTTATCCTGCTGTGAAAAGTGAAAAGACGCATCCACACAGCTTCCTTCCAGCTGAGCAGCAATCACAAGAAAAAGCTCCGACCCGACTGCTTAGGTGCTGCTTTCTACCCAGGTAGTGGTTCTGGTTTTATTTTTAATTAAACCATGAATGCGCTACTGAGCTAGCAGGACATCATCCACTGCATCTATGCGAGTCTCTTTCCAAAGTCTATCCTATGTATTTTCATGTTTTCAATTTTCTTGTAATAATGCTTTTATGTTTTAAAATCCAAAATATGTACATATAACAAAACAGATATAGGTAAAAACAAGATATTCTGATAACAAAAATACTGGTATTAGAAGAAAATACTACAGCAGTAGATTTTTGTGAACTAAAAAGGGAACGTCTTTGCATTTGGGATGCGTGTATATTCCTTGGATGCTTACAGTTATGCATAGCAGAAATCCTTCTCCTGCTGTTCTGGCTTAGAAAAAGCATTCATCCAGTTTCAAATTTTTTACTTACTGTGAAAGGCATTTTCTTCTAAATATTGCGGGGTTAGAATGTTTCTTTCCTGCTCCCTCTTTTTTTAAATACTATGCCTGTATATTTTGCAGCAGCAACTTGAAGCCTACTTGCCGTTGGTAATTTTCAAAGCCCTTACTATCTATGTGGATACCAAAAACTAATTTAAGAATCCAGCCTTGCCCTGGCTGGAGTTAGTGAAGATTTACCATTGACTTTAAAAAGCAGGGTCAAGCCCCTCAGTCTAAAAAGAAACTGCAGAACAGTCATGACTGCCTGTAAGAAACAGTTGCTGAACAGAAAGTACAGCCGCTTAGCATAGTCAACAGACAAAAATAAATGTTATACCCTAATGACTCTTTCACTAACGACAGCGGGAGAGCTGAGGAGGATCTGCATTAGAAACTAACAAAACTGCATCCATCTTATGATATAGCTGTTATCAGGGAAGGAAGGGTGACGGGCTGTGGTAGCAGTAAATGCTTGTGTTACCAACTGCTGCTGAAGAGCCTCGTGGCGCTGTTTTAGAAGTTCTTCTGTCCTCTGGAGGATACCATACTCAGCTGTAATTTCTGCTATTTCCAGTCGCTTCTTTTTATAAAATGTGTTTTTGCTCCGGAGCTTATTAACATAGTGTTTAAACTGGAATGAGAGAGAATAGAAATACCATTTAACTTAAAGCAAAAAAGGGCCTTATCGCAGACTGTTGCTATATAAAATGTAATTATTCTATTTGGACTGCATATTGAAGATTAAGTGTTTAGAACAGAGGACTGGAATTCAGGATTCCCAGGGCCTATTTATTTTCAGCTCTGCATTTGTTCACTGAGTGAGATCAAGAAAAGCAACTCTCTCGCTTTCAGTTCCAGCTCACTCATTTGTAATAGTGAGATCATTGGGTTCTGCTCACCACCATTTGACAGTCAGAAAAGTAATTACTCTTTGCAAAATGTTATGAAAATCATGAATAATAAACCAGTTAATGTAATAGTAATTTGCACTTCTAACAGAGCACCAGATCAGCAGTTCGTAGCCCCAAAGAGCTCTGCAGAGCAAGAAACATTATGAGAAAGTGCAGAAAAACTGGAAGGGAAGAGGGCATGGGAAAAGACTATCTTTTTTTTTTTTTCCAATGCTAGTTCTCAATAGATAAAATTCGTTGTTCTGTTTCCTTGACTCTTGCAGACCTAAGTTTTTAAAAAACAGGAAAATAAAAGCAGCGTCCTTGCGTAGAAGCAGAGAAATGCACTATATATTTCACTCAAAATCTAAAGTCATGGAGAATTTATATTTTAATTAAAGACTAAGCAAAATAATGCATATCCTTACAGATCAACAGCCTTAGCCAATTTACATCTGAATCTGTGCGTGCTCAATTTGTAACACATATGAAATACCAGGTGTTGAAACAAACATGTAATGTTTTTCTTTGCCTTAATGTTTTCCATCTGTCAAACAGGCTTAGCTCTTATATTTAATGTGAGAGCTGTGAGGCAAATGCCAGTCGCAGCTCAAAAATGCATTCAGATCCAGAGACGGAAAGCAAATAAAATTTATCAGAGTAAATGATGTAAGAACAGGCTTCAGAATGCTCCTTGGTGAGTAGGGGCTCAGCATGTGCAGAATGAGCATAAAACAGGCAGCCCCAAGGAGGAAACCGGAGTCCCACTATCGCTGACACAAGTTTAAAACTCAAACATAAAAGAACTTAGATTTTGAAATTTACATTAGTTTTTCTTTTCGCAGAATTATGCCTCTCCCTTCTAAAGAATAAATCCAAAAAACCAATGTGACCACAGCCTAAGAGCCCCCAGAGTAACTGTATGTTCTATAAAAAGTGTCCTGGGCAAAATGCCCAAAATGAAATCAACCCTGTTCATCTGCCATCCTGTGCAATATCTAGGCCAAAGCTGCTTCTCTCTTGCTATGCTCCAGAACTATTTTTAAAGCCAAAAGCTATAAACGTTTTTGGTGAAAGAACAAACCCACAAATTACTCAATGTGCTCTATGCAGATTGGACTATGTGTGGCTTTGGAATACCATTTTACATTGTGCGTACTACCTAGGACAAGGATAGACAAGGTCACCTAAGCCACAGCACTAAAACACAGCAGCGGAGGCAGCTCTGTTACATTTGTTATATTATTGGCACACTTAATAGAGTGTTACCAGAATGAATTCTTTTTCATAGCAAATTCAAGTATATCCTCTTAGTTAATACAAAAGACTCTTTTTTTTTATTGCTTAGACTATACCAAGTTTTCTGTGATTTTCAAGAGATTATAGAATTATAAATACAATCTCTCCAACTAACTGAGGAAAACTTAAGGGAAGCAGTCATCTGTCTCGATCGAGTAGTTCCAGAGATATTTCATTTGACCAGTGGAATATAGTAAAGAATGATGTAAAGGATTAAACTTACTTAAACTTACTTAATATGTGACCACATACAGCTATCAAATCTAAACGATTTTCTGTCAGTTTATCCCAGGATGAAAAGCAAACTATTATTCTCTTCACTTCTATAGCTACTTTTAAGGTCTCCAAAATAGCTCGAGTGGGAGGCAGAGTATTTGCATATTCAATATTCAACGCATAATGCATTTTACAATGGAAGTCAAAGGATCTTGTTGATTAAAGAACTGATTCCACCAGTGTTCTATTATTAGTTGATTAAGTTAGGACCGTATAATAAAAATTTCATCCAAAACGAACTACAAGTTGCTCACGTTGACAAGCGAAACCTATTCATTTTAGGAGATGGATGTCTATCTTTCATCGCAATCTCTGGCTTTTTAAAAGCAAACTTAACCTTTCACATAGCTTTTATTGCAGCAAACAAGGTAAAACAAGAGATGAACCACGGTAGCAAAATGATAATATCTGTAGAAAATCAATCAATAGTTTGGCAGAATTTTCAAAAGACTTCACCTACTCCCAACGCGGCAGAGATTACCCCCTCAAAATCTCACTAACTGAAGGCTTCTTTAGATGCAGGGCCAAATTCAGAGCTGGAGTTATTAGCTTTGACTCCACGTAAATCAGCAGCTTGTAGGGATCTTATGGCAAAATTAGGTTTCCTCAGCCTAAAGGCTGAGAATCATTCCATACGTTTCCAAAAATTAAAAATAAGCTGCTTGTAAAATACCAGCGCTTTCATTTGTGTAAGCATTACTTCTGAAGCTTTACACATCTCATGCTCCCATCTATATGTAGATGAAAAATCAAGCCCTTAAAATGCTATAAAACATTGTATTTTACTGCGGTAAAAGGTCTTTTAAATAATTTGAATAGTTCACAAAAGAATAACATTGTCTAACCATATCACTTTCCAGTTAACCAACCAAAAGGAATCCATTTCTGAGCCGCAGCATTTTCCCATAGACCAGGTCAACTGCTCCCTGCGTAGACGCTCAGCAGGCTCAACCTACAGAATTCCCATGGATCTGTCTGCCCGCAGTGATGTGCCGTGCAAGGCTATGTCTACCAGTAAGCTTTTCTTTCTCAAGCAACTTAACACAAATAGTTATTTAAGCTTCAAAGATTAAATGACTGGACAAGAACCAAATGCTGGCACTGAGTTAGCAGTTAAAGTAAACAAGGCTGGAGACCCATGTTTGCTAGCCGAGTCGGAGCCCCCTGAGGTATAAAAACTATCCAAACGAAAGCAAAGCAAGTTCTGCTTTTTCACTTGGCTATTTTTATGGGTGACTGTAACATAACAAGCGTGGAATCTAGATCATGAAACAGAGTGAATGAAAACTGGACTTTGATCTCTCATATCGCGTCCTGCAGCACGCAGGTATCTAGCATCCCTGGGCAGATCTCCTGTGTTACCTTCCATTGTTATTGAAAGAATCCGGCAATGCCAGTACTTTATGCTTCTCCACTTATTACCATCTGAAAGCGATTGCTATCAACAGATTAAGTCTTACCACACTTTTGTGAAGTAATTGGGTATTGCGCCAATTCTAAATATGACAAAATCGAACCGCGGCTATTAAAATGGCTTCTCCAGGACCAGACAGAGTCTGGCAGGTTACCCCGCTCCCGGAAAGCACATAAGCACGTTGAGCACACGCTTCGGTGCATTGCTGAATTGGGATCAAAGCCCAGCTCCTCTAATGCGTACTCGTACGCTTTCACTGTAAGCCCATCGTTTCGTCTCCTTAAAACTAACGTTTGGCCCATGTGAAGTTTTCACAAGGTTCTTATTCCAAGATTAGCATTAAAGGAGAAAATGGATAAGTTTCTTTTCAGACAAGAACAAATCCCAGATTAATCCCTCGCTTTCGAGTCAAATCTTCAAAAATAGTATTTTCCGGATTACTGTATCCATTTGATTGCGTTATAGTAATCAAAATAGTCTTCACACGAAAGTACTACAGAAAATAAAGTATTAGTTGTAAAAAAAAAAAAAGATTTCTTTCTGAAGCGCATAATCTAAACAAGGTTCCAAATAAACAGTTTTGTTAATAAAATTATTTGCCTAAGCACAATAATTGCAGAAAATCTTGGCAATCTCTATTTTTATTAAGACTTGAGGAACAGATGTTTTAATTTTCTAACTAGACCAATTAACGGGATACAGACCGTCCAAAGTATTAAAATTCAGTTAGGAAAAGTTCCTGATCGTGACAGATTTTCCGCAGTTTTTCCTAAGAGGCTCTAAATTTAAGCTAGTACAGCCACTGTTGGATACAGTTAATACCTCATACATAGAAGGTCAAAATTCTAAACGATATGAGCAGTATTACCTCAATCTATTAAAATGAAAGTATCCTACAGCCTGCTCATTAGGCAGATCAATTGGGAAAATTCTTCATTAGCATTAAGAAGGATATCTCTTCTAGGAGTGCTTGCTTCTGGTCAGGGAAGAAGTATTAAAGTAGCCACTACTAATAATTTGGATCAATCAGAGTATTTTTAATGAAAAACCATTTTCAGTTATCACTGAAAATGCACAGATCAATAAAACTGATGATTTATTCATGCCAGTGGGTGCTGAAAGAGCATTCAGTTCAGTTCAGATTTGTCTGAATCACTGCATACATTTGGCTTAAATGACGGTTAACTTCTTACGGCAAAAAGCTTCTGGCTCCTGGAAGAATCCTGCGGATTTGCCGCTTTTGTTCCCACAACTTGACTACCAGCTACTCTCCTGTTTTCATGCGTAAGGAGCCTCTGACAGACAGGAACACCACTGTACCCAGAACCTTAGTGAAAAGTTAAGAGAAAGGCAGCAAACTGACAGGATAATATATCCTGGGCCCTGGCTTAAACCATTTCATGTTTGAGTTGTGAGCTCCTTTATAGCTACTCTCTTAAAAATCCCTCCACCTGGTTTGGACCTAGATCACCGTTTCTGGTGGATTATTCAGATGGACCGGACAGTTTTAGAGGAAAAGCGACAAGATCTCTGGCCCAAGACTGACCGTTTTCTCTGTTTGCAAACTGAAACATTTTTTCTACTGTTTTACCGGGGGGCAGGTAGGCATGGATGAGCACTTGTTTGAAAAAAATGAAAATCCTTGTGTAAATGAATATGCAAACCTCACGTCTGTTAACAAACCGATAGGACTTTCTATGCCACATTCTCAAAACCACATTCATTTCAACTACTGTAGCTAAGCACAGCTATGATACTATTCTATTCTGATAGCCTGGGAAAGTCTAGGTTCTTGGGGCCCTATGCTGAACTCTGAAAAGCACAATGCGTTGTGTAAAGCGCTAAAAATATCACAGCTTCACCTAGGATCACTTGTAACTGAGCCATCCAGCCTTCTCTAAGCGTCAACATTTGATTCCCTAATTTTCAGGATCTGACAGCTGCAGCTAGGAGCCTGCCAACTTTGCCCCATGCTCATCGTACTTTGTTTGAAGTACTTAAAAAGATTTCATAATCCCCGAAGCAGACAATTTATTCCTACCTTTTTGTGTTTGATGTAAATGAATTGGTTATTCCCTGCTGTTTCTTCTATCTAGCTGTCCAACCTCGCCAACCAGCTGGAATGCTGTAACATTCTTTTTTATGCTCACAGAAGAAAGCCAAACACTAGCACCTAAAAACATAAGCCAGGGTTGACCTTTTGGTGAATGAAGTGCTAAGAAGACCTCATCTGGAGATCCAAATGCTGGTATGGGAGCGCAAGCTAGAAAGGCACCGATTCTTCGACTGCCAAGTCTTGTGAGTGCCATGATATAAGAGGATACAGCAAAGTGAGACAAAGAGAAGATGAGAAATACTGGGTATAGGAGAAAAAGAATTCTTTAACTGTAGCATGTAGGTTAAATGTGGCAGGATTAAAAGCCTGTTTTAAACTTAAGGCAGCCAAACTATTTGTTAAAAAGCCCTCTTTCTTCCTTTTTTGAAAACGGAGACACTAAATGTAAAATGTGTGACTGCAACAAGAAAGCATAAGGAAGCTCTTGGCTGTCAGAGAGTGCCAAGTGAAGGGTGAACGCACAACCTTTCGGTGCCCACTGAATGTATGTATTGCAACAGTGACTCACCACTCCTGCATTAATCAAGACTTCCTTCGGTATTGGCTCAAAGCTGGAGTAACAGAGCACTGAACCAGAAAATACAAATTTAAAAGCATAACGTATCAGAAACGAATCTAGAGCAAAAGGCTGTCTGGTGAGTGATGAACCGAGGCTTCTACTGATGAGAGATAACCTGTTCACTTCATTTTTGCTTCATCACCTTTTCCCTGCCAACTTACTTGTCTCATCTATCAGTCCTGTCTTCTCACAACCTCGACTGAAGCAGGACTATTTCTGTAACGTGTGTTTGCAGCGGACTTTAAGGAGATACGAAGTCTAGAGTACCGAGCTCCTATGCAGCATTCTTGGCAGCAGACATTTAGAAAAGAATTAAATATCACTATCTCAGTTTCCCAGATGCGACCTTTGAAAAAGAAGCTATCAAAATCATCAAGAATTCAAATCCTTTCCTAGCTTTTAGCCAGAGGAAACACTCTTTTTACTGCTTTACCCTGGTGCCTGTGAGTACCACTACGGTATACCTAATGAAGTAATAAACGAGAGCAGGAGAGGGATTGTCTCATACTGCCTTCCCTGGGCCAACGGGCAGAACGTATTTCACAAAAGAGGAAATGCTGCTTATGAAAAGACAAACACTTCTTGTGTTAAGCTGATGGTTTTGTCCAAAGTGCTCAGTCAATTATTCTTCACTCCTCAAAATGAAGACTTGGAAAGATTTTAAAAGTCAAAAGCAGACCATGTTTTAACAAAAGGAATGCAAGTTATGTTCAAAACAGGTCTTGTCTTTTTTCTGCCTTGAGCTTCTCCCTTGTGTAAGGCAATTAACTTGAATTTTTCGTTATTAAGCCTCTTACGAGGTTCTGTAACCGTGTTTCCCTCCTACCCCGCTCTCCTTGAATTTCTATGGATCAGAGTATGTTGTCCCCCTCGCAACATGAATTATTTCTCACCTTACAGTGCACTTACAGATAATGTAAAACGTATGTTGCTGTCTTGGTAATGCATTCTCGTTGATGAATTAAACACTTCTTTCCCATCGCATGTCACGGAACACAGACTGTCTGCTTTCTGCTTTTATTTTTACTTAAAAAGTTGTCAAAGACTTTAGCAACATGCCCACTGGGGTTGAAAACCTTGTAGTGGAGAGAAATCTACTGCAGGGACCTTATTATGGCTGCCTGTGGAACACCTATGGAAGGCGTGTAGTACGTCATGGTAAGAGAAAGCGATATCTTAATACTTCAAAGTCTCCGGGCCTTTGCTTCCACCTGTAGTTTTCATCTCAATTTACAGAAGGGGAGAAAGGCAAGAAGGCACAAGTGAAATACGCATGGATTCCATATTGCACAAGAAGCCTTTATGCATGCGTGTACACGTACGCGGTTCCATACTCGATTCGCTCTTTAAAGCTCCTTCAAAAGAAAACTGATTTTTGTGGAGCAGGCATATCCTATGGGATCAGGAAGGGAGTTCCTTCTACAAAGGGCGTTCCCTGGATTGAGCAGTATGTAAAAAAAGCACAGAAACAGACAAAGAAAAAGAAAGCGAAGAGGGTTACTCTTGATAAATGATGGCAGTGCAAATGAAGACAATATATGAGGGAATGAAAAGATACATTAAGTCAGAGAATGATGCAGCTAAAATACTCTTTGCTTTAGTGATTCTGCCTTAGCAGGCTTTTTCCAAGCTGAGAAAAATTATTGTCTTAAGAAAAGTCAATTCATTTTGCTGACAAACCACTACCCAGCTGCAGCAGCCTTATTCTTTGCAAACTTTTGAAGAAGAAAAAGCTGCTTTGATAAGTACAGCTTCAAATATAACTGCCTGAGCTCTGCTGATTGTGCCAGTCAAGGTCTGTATTGCAGATAAATTTCACGAGGGTCTGGGAAAATTTTTTTAAGTAAAAACTTTTGTGGGTAATAAATACAACAGGACTAACTGCATTTCTGATAATTGCTGGTATTATGCTTTATGATCGTATATCATATAGAGAATGGATAGTAACGCAGATTTTTATTATACATCAAATAACAAAATTAATCTACATGACTTATCACTTGAACTCCTAATCCTAAGTCAACAAGACGAATTCATTAGTCTTGTTGACTTCTGTAATTAGTTATTTACCATACCATTAGTTATTTACCATCATACCATTTGATGATATTGACCTTTTCACTCAGAGTCTGGAACGTTAAGACAGCCCAACATTAAGTCCTCATATACCTTTCAATCTGTTAGGTACAATGTGAATAATTGAAATGAATAATTTGAAAATAGCTACAAATCAAGCACTGCTGCAGTATAAATATTGGAAAGCATTTGAAAGCAACGGGCACAGCATTGTACTATCTGCACATTAAAAAAAAAAAAAGTCTTCAAATATGTTAATTTTGGAATTTGATGACAAAAAACGTGTGTTGGAAAAACCAGAGGCCGATCCGTTGCAATGCTGAGGCCACGGAGTTTGACAACATGCTATGAAAATGGATAAGATACTGTAGAAGCAGTTATTGCAATGTAAAGTTAAAAGGAAATTGTGAGTTAACAAAAATGGATCCATCTCTTACAGATTTCCTTTTCCTTATATCCACTGTTACATGGCGTACCTCATCCCCTTTCAGAACTTCAGAGCCTTCTAACTCATGGGCCTGGTTGGTCTTCAGCAGCATCTGCCTCTCAGTGCTGGACATCTCCTCCTTAGCAGCCTGAAGTTCTTCTGCCTTGGCTTCCTTTTTCCGGGCAATTATAGACGCCTGCAGGATCATGAAAAATGCATATGGACAAGCAGAGTTAAAATTGCCTTGTTTAATCATTAGTAAAACGTAATCGGTTACATTTCAGGCACTGCACCACTGAAACCCCATTTTAACTGTCAGAAAGTGATCTTCACTAGGAAACGTGAGCATGTCTCTTTGCAAAGAAGCAAGCATTGCTTACGCCTTACACACAGGGGGTTAAACCACGACCCCAGTGAAGTTGATTGCAGACTCCCAGCTTCTTCCGTACAGCCGAGATTTTGAGCATATCCTTTTCTCCCGGATTCATGTTGATACATTTTACATTTACATTTCTTCACCTCATTTTTTCCTTTTCATTGAAGAAAAAGGCAGGCATTTTAGCTGCTCCATTTCTTCTACTTAGTCCCTTTTTGTGCATATGTAAGATACACCAACATGGCTTAACTGGAAAGTTATCCAAGCTTTCACAAATGTCATAATACAGATTTTTATAACTCCAACCTACTCCAACCTACAGAAATATGTTATACTAACAGCAGAACCGAGCCACTAAATCTTGGCAAATAGCTACAAGACGATGAATAAAGCAATGCAGTACAGAAATAGTGTAGATTACAGGTTATTCTTTTGAGTCTAGAAGATAAAGCATTTAAAAAATATTATTTCATACAAGGCAGAATATTTAAGAGTACCTAACATTTGACCAGAAGCTAACGGATTTGGGAACATAAGTATACATTAGTTCAGGGGGAAAAAAAAGCATTTTTATCTTGCCAAAGTATGCTATTTAAAAATATTTTAAAATAACACAACACATTAATTTAGATGCATGCGCATGAATTTAGAGGCATGGCTGGTTTCTTCATATGAAAGGGAAAACTTAAGAAAAAATGAAGCAAAATACACACTGACTAGGTTAAAAGGACCAGCTTTATTTCTAAAAATATATCTAACAGAATTCTGCTGGGGTAGTATCTAGCTCTTTGCTTCACGAGATATTTGCAGTGACAAATTGTGGTACAATACATATGGCGCTTTTGTGAAACAGAAGCCAGTCCTGAGCAGAACAAAGCAAAGACCACCACGTGCTTTCAACTCACAGCAGCAACCTCAGCTCCTGGAGCGGTTCCTCCACTGAACGTAATTATATCACAAACCAGTTGGTCTTTGGTACCAGCACATCCTGTAGCGGGCTCTTCTTTCAGGAAGTGTCTCTTACAAAACAAGATGGTGCATTTCATATTGCATATGCGATTGAACTGCAGTATCCGTTTTATCACAATTTTTTTTCCTCTCGCTGACACATTTTACTTAAGCCTTTTTATTTTTTAAACCGCCACCATAAGCATCATCATGAAAATCTTCAATAAAAGTAGCAGCGGTACAGGTTGCCTGGAAAAGAAATCACTTACATTTCTGCGTAAGCTCTGAAAATCTCAGAGTTCATAAAGCCTTTTTATAACTTGTGAATTTACTAAGACTAGACCAGACAGCCTATTTTATAGAAAGACTGTTTTACAGCCTCAGGATGAAAAAAAATCAAAGAATACCTTCTTAATAGATGTAACGGGAAAAATAGCATGTGGTCAAACACAAGCAAGGGACATAACTGAAAGCAAGCCTTGCACCCCGGCCTGACTGCAGCAGCCAGCCCCCGTGCTGCCGTGTAAGAATCTGCCCACAGCTGGAGCCTTACCAAAATAGCTCCTCCAAAATGATCCTTCCAGAATTACTGTGATCCAGCTGAAGGGCAACACCTAAGAGCTTAAGGACAGCGGTCAATGCAAACTCACTATCATGACTGAAAGCAATTGTTCGACTCAGCCCTAAGCATACCTATGTTCAACAGCTATTTATTTTCTTTTTGTCCTCCATCGCTATGTATTTCTGCTGATTATTGCTAAATAAATTAAAGAAAAAAGTCAGTATGTAAAACAATCAGTGACTGAAATGGCTCTAGTGCTTCTGCTTAAAAAATGTTTTGTTCCTTCTTACCTGTTGGCGATACATGGAAAATTTACTGTCAATTGGCTCATACTTCATCATTCTTTTCTCAATAAGCTGATTCATTTGTGCGTTTACTTCATTTATCTGCAAGACAGAGTAGAAAACTAAGGAAATGGAGATTTATTTCTCTGTCTTCTCCAAGAATTAAAAGCTTTGCAAACCAGATTTACAATCCAGTTAGTTCCATTTTTACAACAGAGAAACAAACCCAAAAAACTCAATGAGTCATTAAGTGTTGGCCAGGAAGAGGCTATGGTTTTGGATTTCCAGTTCTGTGCCTTTATGATAAGGCAGAAGCATGACGTTGGCCCCGAAAATGAAGTAAACTGGTGTACGTGGAGAGCAAATGCACGTGAATTGGTACAGACAGAAAAATGACTGATGTTGTCACATACTAGGTGAAAAATGTAACTTCATCAATATTAACTAAAATTCCTTTTCACTCAAACCATTTATCAGAAGTTTAAAGGGGAGCAAATAAAGCCTCAGTGATATCAAATTCCATCGATACTTTGAAGAGTCACAGGCCATCATATTCCAGCTCTGTGGTACCTTCTTTCCACTGCCACAAAATGCACTTCTTTGTCCATAGTCTCAAATCGTTGGTCTTCATTCGAGCTGAAGCTTTAGAGCCTACTGCATCTGGAAACTCATAAACAGCTACGCCAGCGCACTGACTGCAGCTTTTCCAGTCCCGACTCAATGCGACACTGGGACTCTCATCAGCCATGGAAACCACAGCCCTAGCAACCTTCCTCTAATTCTCTGCTAACGAGATGAGTGCTGATAAGGAAGCAGTGTAAATATGTGCTGAAATCCAATGAAGTCAAAACGTAACGCAGGTACAGTGCTGGGCTTTACGCTAACATTTCTATGAGCAATATCTGTGTACTTTGAAAGCGAAGTATTTAAAATAAAGTGCTCAACAGGACTAAAAATACTCCCAACACCTGAAAAACAAATCTCCTGTAAATTCTATTCCTTTACAAAAGGTAGAACAGGCCTGAATTTGAAGACAGCGTAAGAATTCCCTTCTGTGAATACATTCCTGTTTTATATCTTATAAAATGCATGACAGTAGCATGCTTAGTGCAACTCAGCTCCTTTTTAAGACATAATAGAAGGCTGACTTTAAACAAAAAATGCTGTCTAAGGCCCTGCTGCGATAACAGCCAAATATATGACATGCTTTTATTATCTATTAAGGAGAACATACTTCCAAAATATAACAAATTAAAAGGTTACCTCATGGAGAAAGAGGAAAAAAAAAAACTTGAAGCTTTTAAAAATATTGCCAAAACCCCAGCTCTTGGAAAAGAAAGGTGCAAAACAGGGCTTCAACTATGCTGAAAAGAACTGCAACCACAAATATCGTTTTGATCAGAAGAAATAGAACTAGGAAAGCAGAGGCTGAATCACAGAGCTAGTTTAATATTTCAGACCTAATCTACAGTTTAATAACGCTGTCATCCTTAAAAGCGTAACGATCAGGATCCAAAATGGCATTGGGCTGTCACTGATTTTACTTTTACAAAAACTAGCCTTAACCTTAAAATAGAATGTATTCTTGATGACATTTGACTGCTGATTCTTGTCTGATCCAAAAAACCTGTAGGCATTTCTCTCTTACGTTACTTTGGCAAGTTCTATCTGTGAATGCACAGGCTACTGCGATGCTGAGGTAGCTGCTGAACCTCCCTCTGCTTCAAGACCCAAGAAGAGTGGTGGATGGCAGCCCTCACCCCCATGGGTAAATCGTTCTCTGATCTACTACAAGTACTCTCTTTCCTCATTATCCATATTTGACAGCAAAGCCAGAGTTGGAGATCCTGGGAATATTGAAAAACAACTGATAAGAACTGATAAAAACTGATAAGAGAAGACATTTAGACTGAAGAGTGTACCTAGCAGTATGTAGGACCAGTCTTCCTACCATAGCTAACGCTGTAACTTTTCATCATCATCAACAGAAATACTAATAACTAGCATTCCTCTAAATCCTTCTAGAACATAATATTACATATCTAATCTTTCATTTAGGATTATGCAAATATGAAAACTCCATTGAGTGAAATATATAAATGTACTTCCATGGCAACAAATCCCTCTGCATATTTTGGATATATAGTACAAATAAGGATTTTTGCTCATTCTAACACCATTTGCTTTTAACTTCTGAAAAAATCTGGAAAGGTAGATCAAGTATTTGATCCCCAACTTTCCTTTGGTCCTACCAACAAATGATACAGACCTATTCCAAACACTAAGGGGTTCTCAGCCATTGCACATTGATTAAGACAATTAATTAATATTGCTGGAGATGTTATCCCTCAGAGAATGCTGTTCACCACTCCATAAACGCTCTCTATATGTTGGTATAAACTCCCTTGATGTCAGCGAGAGTTTAAAACAAGGGAAAACTGAAGAGAAGAAAACTCAAACCTTTAGTACTAAATTAACATCTCTGCTCATACCATTGCAAACTGCTAACACGATTTTCTAAATACCATTTAAAGATAGGGTTGGGCTTGGGGTTTGGTTTGAGGTTTTTGGTTTGGTTTTGTTTGTTTTGTGGGGGTTTTTTTAAACTTATCTGAGAGTTTGCATTTAGTGATTAACACATCTTTTCTTTTACAACTGAAGGGATGTTCCTTTGGGAATGAAACATTTTCTCAAGGATATAAAGTAGGGATAAGAAAACTACAGCGTAGAAGAACCTTGGACTATGCTACGGAACACAAGTTAAGTGTGACCTTGGTCAGCTTACCTTGATTTCAAGTACATTGAGATCAGATTGACTCATAGCTGGCTCTGCAAGCACCTTTTGTAAGAAATATGCTGAATTCTTCTTACTTTCAAGCTCTCTAGGTATTTTTTCAGTAACAAGATACGAACTGAAATTTATCTCCTCTTCTAGTTTCTTCATTAAACCTTAAAAACGAATCAAATCAGTGTGTGTCTATAAAAGTAATGTAGCGGATAATTAAGTTTGATTTCACCAACACATTAAAGTATTTAGCGGCAGATTACAATAACAACAGCGTAACATTTGAGTCTTCTTTTCAACACTCGAATAACCAGGTAGTTACTTGATTTAGGTTTTTAATCTGGGTGTTAAACAATATAATATGTATTATTATCCATCTGTATCTCTAACATACAACTATTAACTGCTTGACAGATTCTTTTCATCAATAAAAAAGTAAAACCCTTCTTATATGAAGCTGTAGCCGAATCAGATGCAAAATTCAACAGGCAGCGTTGCTACAGAAAGCCATAAACCCTCTGTGTACCTCACACACAGCAAGATATTGGATTCTGCGTTACTTTTTTTGTGTTGTGAATTATATTCTTCTGAAATTTTAAAAGTTAAGAGCTGGACTTTGGTTGCTTATGCGCATGCAAGACGAGGGGCAGGAAAGCACGTCACAGCTATGCTGACCTGCTCAGAGCTTTTTCGAAGCTCGTGTCCCTTGGAACTCCCCTGGTGGAGCAGTGGAGCATCCTGAAGTTGCTCCTACTCACAGATCGCTTAAGTCATTGTTTCGTGTGAATTACTTCATCTATAGGCAGAAAATATCTCTGTGTGAATCCTTTATCTGTACAAAGATCGTAATTTGGCCTAGCTCATGCATAGATTTGTTCCATCCTTGGAAATTCTCCCTTAAAAGAAAACTTTAATCTGGCACCTAAAATGGCCTTAAAATGAAGCAGAATTTACTGTATGCCTACTTTAAGGGTCTTTTACATTGCTGGAACACTTATGAATTGCCTCTCTGTAAATAGCAGGCTATTTTTTCTTGTAAGAACAAGCGTTTAATCTCAGGACAGTACCTAGACTGACAATGCTGAAAATAATAATAAAATAGAAAAACCAACAATGAATTCCTGAGTAATGTCAAAAATTCCGTTGAGAAAAGCAACCCCATTTATAAGTTTTGCTCTACACGAGCCTGATGCACGCTGCACGTTACCATGCTTAGGATGACTTGGCTCTTGCTAGGGAGAGTGATTTAGCCTCCTTAACAGATAATTCATAAATAGACACAGGTACATAGAGATAAGAACAATACACAGAAAAATGCGACAGAAGAAAATAAAGCATCTATTTAAATTACATTACACAGTCTTCCGCTGACAACAGGCAGTTTAGTGCAATTCCTCCTTCAAGACACCTGTGCCAAGGACTACAGTAAGATTTGGAAGTTATATGTCAGATGAGAGTGGCAATCGGTATTTCAGAACCTTTTTCATGATCTAGATGACTAAAAGGTAAGTATCCTAGGTACTTTTGAAAACTACTTGCTAGAGTTGGGTTGGGGTTTTTTGGGGGGGAGGGGGGGGGATGTCTCTCCATATTTGGGAGAATATGGAATTGCCATGAAATGCCAAGAAAAACAAGAAACTCACAACCTCCCTCTCTTTCATCCACTGCACAAGCAGAGGAAAGCTTGAGTACAGAGATACACTGGTTGGACTCGATGATCTTAAGGGTCTTTTCCAACCTTAATGATTCTGTGATTCTATGGTTCTAGTACAGCTGATGCTGCTGAAACAGAGATGGGAAAGGTGAAAGCAGAGCTTTTGTTTCTCAGGCTACAAAACCTGCCGACCCTGCCACTAACTGACAAAAGGAGAAGGTCGGAACAAAGCGAAACACAAGCCTAGGGAAAGGGGCCCCCGTTATTCTGCCGCTATTTACCTCTAGAAACACCGTACTGATAGATCCTCCTCACCCTCGGCTCTCGGCTCAGACTGAAAGGAGAGCTGCTTGGTTTAGCTGCCAGAGGGAAATAAGCCCTTAGTTCTTGAGAAAGCCTCAAGAACGAGAAGAAGGAAGACAGACCCTAGGGAAAGCAGCGTTGCTAAGTCAACACAAACTAAAAATGAGTGGGAATTCCTCTTTTCCAGCAGTTTAGTTTGTTGATTTCTGTGTTCATGAAAAGCAACACTACCACACCATCTTTTCCCCAAAAGGTCATTTATCTTGTGCAAAACAAACAGCATTTAGATATTAGGAAAAATTTCTTCCCGGAGAGAGTGGTCAGGCCCTGGCCCAGGCTGCCCAGGGCAGTGGTGCAATCACAGTCCCTGGAAGTGTTCAAAAACCATGTGGATGTGGTGCTTAGGGACATGGTTTAGAGGTGGACCTGGCAGTTAGGGTAACGGTTGGATTCGATGATCTCAGAGGTCCTTTCCAGCCTTAGCGATTCTGAAACCAGTCTTAGAGTCATAGAAGGGTAAGCGGAGTTACTCCATGTGTGTAATAGCCATTATCTGCTTGGCACTACAGCTACACCCTGAGAAACACGCTTGGACTTACTGAGAGAGAATTCCCACTGCTTTCTTCCAGAAAAACTTGATTCCAGTCTTCCTCAGCCCACGACAGAGCTGGGCAGGAAGGACCACATTTAATGTCTCACTAGAAATCTACCACCTCTGCAAATGCAGCGAAGCTTCCCACGTACACCGTGAGCTGAATTATCATCTCAGAACTGACTAGGAACGCAACTCCCAATTTGATATTTATAACCAAGATCTTTGGTGTCGAAATCAAAGTAAGATCGATTAAATTATTCGGACATTAAATATGAATATGTTTATTTCATCAAACTAATTTCTTGTTTTCCTCTTAGCAGCAAAAAAATCTGCATATATACCCTATACTTTATTTTTTCTGCTACTCCAGTTTTATTATAAAAAGGTACATGCCTAAATAATTTATTGTAGATATGAGACAAAACTCAGGAAATAACCATGCCTTAACAATTGCTTTCGTAAGAGCAGGAACCTACTGACTTCACAGGGCACAACCTTGATCACGACCTCGATTTATTTCTCGGCTTACCTGAGAGCGATTACCGACTGCTTCTAAACACCGACTGGCTCTGCATCATGCTCACTCCTGATGGCGCAACAAGCAATGAAGCAAGTTAAAACTCGACATCTCGGTGGGGAAAGACATGATGATGTCAACATCCCTCATGACTAATGTAGTTCCTTTCCTAAATACTTTGGATATATTTTTCCTCCTGTACAATTCAACATATGGAGGAGTAACTACCTAAGAAGTATTTTTGCTCTTAACAGAACCTTAAAAACCAAAACATAGGGCAGCTCTTGTTTTAATTTTTTTTTTCAGTGAAGAACATTCAAATTCCCAGGCTAGAGGAAAGAAAAGCAAGCATACTTTAAATCTTTCCATTACACATATAAAATCTGTTTTTAATGTTTTAACATTGACTCTACGGTTACAAAATCTACATACGTAAGCTGCACAGAAAGCCTGGCTCTGTACCCTAGGGTTATTTTAGCAAGGTTCTGCCAACCACATATTTACATGTGGAGAGCTATTAACAGCAACTCCTCATGTTTTCCATTCAAATTTTTTTATTATAATTATTATTACAAAGAGAGGGATGGGAGAAAGAGTTTCTTACTGCTTGCTCCGTCATGTAGGAAAGAGGCAAGTTTCCCTCCAGAATTCTGCTAATGGATCTAAAACTTGATTCACCTTGCGCTCGGATTCCTACTTCTTTTCCCTCTACAGGCTACCAATTGTGCATGCTATACCAAAACCATTTGCAACAATAACTGATTTTTTTAAAAAGGGGGAAAAAAAAAAGAAGGAAAAGAAAGAGGAGCGCTCATTTTATAGACTTATCTGCCAAGACTTGGTTTGGTATCACCTAGGAAGGCCACGACAAAGGCAGGTCTAGAACAGACGTCCACATGGCATTGACTTACATCAAAGCCTTCACTTCCCTTTCTGCAATCATCCCCAATAAGAGCGTACTGAAATTATTCCGTCCACAGCTTCCAATGATAACACTTCCAATTTCCCTGTATTAAACAGAGGCCTGGGACATGCAAACACTGACAGATTATGATCAAATCATCCTTTTGAGATCTCCTTGAAAAACTGAAAAGCTTCCCGAATTTGCCATTGTAAGTTATGCTTTCCATGTTTATCATTATTATCGATGCTCTTTGAAATCTCTCTGACCTTTCAACCTTCTTCTTGAATTCTGGTCAAAGGACACAGTGTTGCAGCGATGGACATACCACAGCTGAAAAGAGAGGTAATACCACTCCCCTACTCCTTTTTCTTCCACAAATAAATGCCTGGATAGCATCAAATCTTTGACACTGGGAGCTCCAGTTCTACTGTTTTTACACTATGACCCACAAGTCCTTTTCAGAGTCATTCCTTGGAAAGAGTCCCACATGCTATAACTCCATTGCATATACATTATTCCCAGGGGAATACCGTGGCATTTGGCTGTGCCTTAAAATATATACTGTTGGCATGGGCTTGGCTTCCTAAATGATTAAGGTCACTTTGAATCAACAGTCTGCTCTCCGCGTTCTTCAGTCATTTCCCCAATTTTTATTTCACCTGACAATTTCACCAGCGATCGTTTGCTGCCTTCTTTCAGGTATCTGATGTAAATACTGAACAAAAAAGAGCCAGACATTGATTTCTGCATGTCCCGATGAGAAACACATCCACTCGGTGATGATTCCCTGATTAATTTCCTCTCTAAAACTTTCAATAAACTCCTTTTAATCCTTTTAACACAGGTCATGTTGAATTTTTGCTGCCTTGTTTGTTCTTCAAAATAGGGTGCAAGTTAAGAGCCAATGGTCTTAAAGTCAGCCACAGCAGTACTATTAACCTAACCAACCAGATTTGTATTCTCAAAGATATCGAGTTATCTTAGAAGTGCTTTACCCCTGACCTTGCATCTATTGACAGTGACTTTATAATAAATAAAATCATTTAAAGACGGAAATAAAGTTCCACCTAAGCCATTCTCCTTTACCAAATACATCTATAGCTTTAATTGTAATGTCGTCTGCAGTGTTGGTGGAGATCATTTAAACTTGCAATTTTATGGAAAGACAGTTCTGTGGAAAGGAAAAATGTTAACGTTTTCATTGAAATGGAATATTTAAATAATAGCATCCTAAATTTCTATTTTTAATCAACTGTTCAGAATGACATTAAATAGACATCTGTATAAAGCGAATCCTCTTTGACCAGTATCTTTGATGTTCTCAGTGCTCTAAATCTATTACGACATGAAGTATATAAATTACACATTTTACTGTTTACCAACAACAATCATCTTAACACATTCTTTTAATCAATATTCTCAAGCTAGTCATCCACTTCTTCATATTTCTGCCAATAAAGTGAACAATAATGTTCTGTAAAATGGACAGAGATCAAGAATTTCAGTAATTCAGTTCGCTTCTTGGCGTTAACAATTTGCGTTTGTGCCAGCAGAGATATTCAAAGCAAAAAGACGGCAATCTTGCTGAGAAAGCGTGAACTAGGTTATTCAAACTAGTGGTCAGTGTTAATATAAAAACTATGCATATCTGGAAAAACAACAGCAACAAAATCCCAGAAACTGGAAATTCATGTTACTTAGTGCTACCAGCAGCAACGGCCTCTCTGTAGTTAAACAACATACTGAGTAGTACTGAGGGTAATAAACAGGGAAGAACCGCACTGTGGAAACCAGTAGGATCAATTTGAGTCTACAAAACATCTCATAACAATCAAGTGTTTTTCATGATACAATACAAAGTCTTCTAAATAGTATATTTCTAAGAGTTAAAAACCTGCTAACCATAAGCTGTATTTTCCAGGCACGGCTAAAGCAGACTGATGCTAATTGCCCGTTAATGATACTCATGAATACATGCTGGTTGCATTCCTTAAAGAGTTTCTTTACATTTCTTTAAAGTACTTCATCCTAAATTAATTATAAGATGAAGTAATCACAGCAGCACGCGTCCGTAAGACAAACAAAAAAGCTTCTACTCATTAACAACAACTTTTATCATTGTATCTTGCTTTGAAAGTAAAAACACCTGAAGTATTAAAAATGGAAGAAAGTGATTTTAAAGGAAAGCATCTACCTTCCAGTGAAAATCCACACCTACCAACCAGCCGTTGAATTGCCAGCATACAAGCTATACTGATACGAGTAGGCACCTGAGGTACCAAACTGCAGCCAAAGGGAATTTTTGAAATAAAATAAATTGTGCTAACTGTAGACCAACAAAGCTTTTAAAATAAATGGAATCCTATTCAGCGCACTGTGGTCACCTAATTTCAATTATTTAAAAAACACAGTTGGCACTCTGTGATCGCTACTATAGGCAGTGTCTTTGTAACTACTGTGGGGGAAAGCACTTAGGAAGCTAAGTCCTGAAGTCTTTGTTTGGGCAAAACTTCAAGACAAGTTTTCTTAAGTAATGACTCCAAGTTTTTCTTCAGAACATCTAAAGACTTTTTTTTGCCCTGCAAGCAGGACTCAAGATAAGGAAATTAAATATGTTAACTTTATCTTTATTTTCATCTCAATGATTAAATGACATATTTACTGGCTTTTTATTATGTTACCTTTGCTTCTGTGAACTGAACCCATCAAGTTTCCATTGGCCTTAAAAAAACCCAGGAACTGAAATAGAAATGTTGACACAGCTTTGCTGTATAAACTTTCTGATAGCTACTGCAAAAATGGAACAGTTACAAAATCCACTGCAGGTCCCTTTGAGTAAAGAAGATAGTTCAGATAACTCTTTTAGTTCCATTTGTGGTTCAGTGGCTGATGAGCATCATAAAAAAATTAAAGTAAAATTACAAAGTAATAACAATGCAACGTGGCGGTCACTGAAAAAAATTCTCTAACTCCCAACAGCTGCCAAAGCAATTACGTGATGCAACTGGAATATTAAAGGTACTTGAAAGAATAGGATAATGACTTACTTTACTAAGTTTAGATCAATAGAGAGTCAGATTCTACCATTTTGGAAGTAATTTATACATATAATAAAGCTTTCTATGGCTTTTTTTTTTTTACCGCAGCAACTTAGAATGCAACTGGAAAAGCCCTGTGAAAAGGACCATTCTGAGTCTTATACCTTCACACTACTTTACAGAAAGTACTTCCCCATAAATAACCCCAATGCCTGTATGAACAGCACGTAAAACCTCTGTCAGTCCCGTGATGTGTTCTTAATAACCAAGTGCAAGAGGAAAAAGGAAAGGGTTAAGCGATCTGCCAGAGATCACATACATCTGAAACACTGAACCCTAAATTGACTCCCAGTTCTGTTGTCAAACTGCCAGGTTAATCCTTGTTACATTGCCTTCAGAGTGATTAAATCATTGGAAACCTAGAGGTTGTAAAATTGTAGCCTTTGGAGACAGTTAGTTATGCATTTATCTAGTAACTGCAATTCCTTCCCACCTGCTATTTTTATAAATCATCATAGACTACTAACTTACTCCACAAGTAGCATGATTTATTTTGCTGAGGTTATTTGCAGGCTGAGATATCACTGAAAATGAGGAGAAGCAATCGTGCTGTTATTAATGTAATACTGCCGTATTGTAATACTGATGTAATACTGCCGTAACGTACAACTCAATCAGCTACAGTCGTATCACGAGAACAAAGTATTTTCATATGTAAACAAATATATTCATATATAAATATATAGGCTTTAACATATATCTATATCTCATATATATTATATATATTTATAATCATATATAAGTGTGTGTGTGTGTATATATATAATCCATGATCTATAAAAAAAGCTTAATTAGGAAGTAGCTTTATTTTTGGTCCCATACAAAACTAGAACACAAAATTGCACTACAACAAGAAACAGGCCTTAAAGCTGTTCCAACAAATATTTTGTGGAAGGTAACTGGAACAAGTCTACACTGAATAAAACATAGGATTCAATGCATTTGTACATTCATTGAGAACAGTTTTTAAGAAGCAGTATTTCACCAATGCCCAATTACAAACACAAAAAAGACATAAAACCTTACTAAACCAGAAGTTTGTCTTTTCTAAGAGCTTTCTGCTTTTTCCAACTCTTTGTAGTTCCAACTGGTTTTTTTCTTGCAGAGTATTATGGTTAGTATTCAGTATTGAACTGTTTTAAGATTTTTAAAAAGTGGACCTCAAAAACTGATACCATCTGTCCTTGTCTCCCTGGCTTTTTGTGGCAAGGCGCATTCAGGTTTAGGATCTCCAGCATGTGCCTTCAGAACACAAGTTATTTCTTTCCTTAGGTTCTCCTAAGTTCCTATATGCTTTTTGGCACTACCATATTACTGACAGCCATCCAGTTTTGATTTCATTTCTATCCGAGAAGTGTAAACCCCCAGCCTTTACAGATTACTACTTACTTTCAGGTTTCGAATCCACTACTGCGTGATGCATCTCTTTCAGCTGGAGCTGTGCTCTTTGCAGTCTCTGCTCTGCATGGAACAACTTTTGAAAGAGAATTGGACACACATAAGCTCGTTCCTTTGAAATGCACATTCAAACAACTAAAACAAGAGAGTATCAAAAAGAAGCCCAAATATAAAAAATGGTAGCTATAAGCATCTGGCGATTATCTGTTTCACGAGGGAACGTGCCAAAACAAATTTTCAACAATTGGCCTGGATTTATTTGATATTCTCAAGTGTTAATTAAGGAAAGTATTCTTGTACTCCCAAGTGATATTTTCTCTATGGCAGAAATTCATTAAACAATTTTCAACCAAAAATATGAGTGGCTTGAACATTAGAACAACAAAAAAAAGACAGCGAGAATCAGGATTGCAGCAGGTAACTGTCCTTATACTGCAGTTCTTCAATGCAGCTGACTTGTCACAGCAATCCACTGTCCAACTCAAGAGCGCACTGGAAAGCCCGTTGCCAAACACCACCCCGTCGATTAGCATTTTTGTGATTTAGAGAGATGTGTACTAAGAACTGGAATTACCTAGACATCACATTCGTTTTACTTGTGATCTCACTTGGGTTCAAGCAAAGACCCAACAGCCTGAAAGCCTGCTGATTCAGATTGATTCCACACCCAGATGCAGACCGCAATACGAGAAATCTGGGGGGTTTTCCCCTTTTCATAGTGTCGAAGTTGACATTACAGAATTTGGTGAGATGATATAACAATACGGCACTGGATTTTATTAAAGTATCTTGTTTTGACAACAGAGCTCAGGAATAAAAGCCACCCTTGTATTCGGATGTCAACTTGCTTCCAGTGCTTCCTAGAACATCATCTTTGTCAAACTCAGGGGCCAAAATCCCAAGGTTGCTCCCGAATACATATTCTCCCCACCCAGTGAAAAGCTGAGGTACCTGCTGTGCTACTCAGCCCCTGAAATCTTCGTGCAGATGCACACAGATACAAATCAAACTAAGGAAACGTTTGCTCACTACCATAAATATAAAGAATTCTCTTTGGGTGCTACAACAGTAAGTCATGGAACATTTCCTGGGACTGCTAAATGATGATGTCAGTGGCAGCTAAGTACCTTGAATCAGGCATTCAAAACGTGCAGGGTCAAGCCTCTTCCCTTAAAATGTACATAAATATTTCTATTTTAAATGGGATTTAATTTTCTGATGTTGGGAGAAACTCTGTACTGTTGTTCCTGATGTACTTTTTTAAATGCATGACCAAATGTCAACAACTATTTATTTTAATAGGTATGCTTTTATGTCAGTACCTGATTTTTTTGTTCTTGTTTCTGTTGAGCCAAAGATTCTTCTCTCTCTTTTTCTAAGCGAAGCTGTCTTGCTATTTCAAGCATTCGTTGATGATTTTGTACTGTCTCCACCTACAGCAAGTGGATAAATAGTGCATGTTACTGTCAGATAGTTGAGAAATACATTAAAGAGATCATGTGTCTCACAAGCCCACTTAGCGCTTCCTTTCCATACATGTTACTACTCAGAAATGACAGCGAAGTACTGGACTCAGGATTCTTAAAAGCTCTGGACTAACGCCTAGGGAGATTCCCTGTGGGTCAATTAGTTATTCGATTCCTTCCTAGACATACAGTATGTTTATCTTAATCCTTGTTTGCATTCCAAAATCAGAGTTGCAAGCCAAGGATTATGACACTGAAATGTAACAGCGTTACTTCTCTTATTACCCTCTTCTTAAGACGCTCTACTCTTTTGATGAGTTGATCTTTCTCCTCTTCCATTGCACTGATGTCCTAAAAAGCAGAAAAAATAGATAAAGAAACGTTCGTTTATTTACAATATCATATGGATTGGACTAAATTCTGTTCAAATCAATATGAAAATCAGAATTCTTCTCGGAATACACTGAAGCAGTTATAATTTTATTGATCTATGATCAGAACATCTAGGATTCCAATCTCTCTCTTCTCTTCTTACTTCCCCCCCAGCTCCTACTCTCTTTATGCTAACATTCCTTCATCTGCATCCTTGAGTATTAGTGTGAACGCTTAAAATAAAAGCAGGTGGGTTTCTCTAAAATAAAACCAAACAGAAACAGCCAAGCAAAAATCAGCATGAATTCAACATCTGATGCAGTCAAACATATGTTCTTAATGTTACCATCATTACCCACTTCCTGGCAGACAATTTTGCATGAAGATTGTGATGAAGAAACGAGTGATGTTTGCTGCCACTTTTTGCATTAAAATTGTGTTAAAAGAAACACTTTCTAGTGCTAAAACATGTGTCCGATTATTATTCTCCTTTAATCCTATCTTACAAGAGCAGGATTCCAGAGATTGATAGTTATGACAGAAAGGGAAATAAATTCTTCCAATTTAGGCCTTATCTCAACATTTCCTTAATTGTCCAAGTGTCTTACTGGAAAGCTGTACCCCCGCTTAAATATTTTACTGAAACAGGGCACATATCTTTACTTAACACCTTAGCCACACAGGATCCTCACTTTTGTTGACTTAAGCTCTTCATTCATTCATCACTCTCTGAAATTAGTACCCTAAATCAGCAAAGCAAAAGGCTTTGTATCAGTTTGCATTCACAGGAAAGGGAGTTCTAATATTTGAAAATCATGCTGAAGAGAGTCTTGGCAGCCTTGTTTCCCCATCTGCTTCAGAAAGCTCAGTTCTAAGCACGAGCGAGGACATTCTAATCTGTTTGCCAACAGAGAACAGTTTCAAAAAGGCAGCTGCATTGTCTACCAGCTCTGACCTCTACAACTTATACACTGCAGTGAGTCCACGGAACCAACAAAACCAGAACCAACATTCAAAAAAATCTAAACAAAAGTTGTGCGATTTTGTCAGATTTTTTTACCCTTCTTATTTCAGCAGTAGATAAACCAGATGTTTTGAGCTGCTCACACTCCTTATGCAGGTTTTTAAACGCTTCCATCAGTTCTTCATACTGTAAAATGAAACAAAAACCATGCAGAATGAGCTCTGTGTCTAAGGATTTTCAGATCGACATGTTGCATTACTACTAAGACAGTAAATATAGAAGTAGAAATATGGTGAGAACAAGAACTAAAGGCCTTTTTTCATCACAAAACCTTGTCAACTTATAAAGCAAAAATGAAAAATCACGGTGAATTATCTTCCATTTGAAGGTACGCTCAGAAGTTTCACAATTTCTTCCGTATTTTCACCTCTTCCCTTGGAATACATGGTGTGTTTTCCAAACAGGAAGATAAGATATTATCTGAAAGGGACAATGCTATGTTAACAAATTATTCTCTCTTACTATAAATCTGTTTATATCACATACTTAAATTTATCAGCCCAAAAAGGAAGAGCTTGATCTAACAACATGCTTGATCGAAGCAATGGGGCTTGAATTTATAGAGCACTGAGCTTCAATCCAGCAAAGCGGTCCAAGCGCACGCCTGACTTATGTGAGAAACAGTTTTGACACATTGCATAATCATGCCCTCGGTATAATATAGAGATTGATATATGTAGTGCGGTAGTTAGAAAGAAGTAGACAGTGTGCTACTTCCACACCAGTACATTGCCCACCAGTAATCTTAAACTGAGAGGCAGTGTGAAAGTCTGTGTGGGTAGAGAAATAACAGGGGACAGAAAGAGTTTAGAAATATGGGCAGGAAATAAATTTAGATTCCACTTGGAGAAATGCAAGCTGAGATATAAGGAAAGATAATCTCCACAGAAACAGCCATTCAACAAGATGGAAAAATCTAAAAAGAGAATATCAAGTCATTTTTTATTTCCTGGAAAGAGCGATTGATATGAATGTTGAGCACAAAATGGCAACGGCAAAGGCCAGTTCAAACAAAGGCGTCGTATCCCTGAGCAGTGAAGCAGCAATTCCATTCTATAAAACCCTGGGGAACCAACATCTAGAATGCTCTGTTCGTTTCTGGTTGTTCCAATATCAGGCACACACTGACAAGCTGGAATGAATTCAAAAAAATAGCAATAAAATGGCTACTGAGAAGAAGATAAAGTAATAGCGAAAATTCTTGATTAAATGGGAAATAAAGGTATGATAAGGCATGCGCACGCCGGACAATGAAGAACAAGTTACAGAAAAGTAGGAGTAAAAACACAACTGGCCTGCGTTATATCGCTTATGCATTACAGAAGCACTTTAACAAATCATGAGATAGCAGGTAGTCTGTGAGCAACTGTGTTCACGACGCTGATGTCCAACAGCTTTCCCTTCTGTGGATTCTCTGTCTCTTTTCAAAGGGGCGTTTAGTAAGGCTTTTCCTTATTGGGACACAAAATTTCAAGACTAATGGTGAGATTCAAACAAGGGCATAGCACAGTTTGCCAGCTCATAACGAAGGGAAGGTTTCTCACTTTCACCGAATAAAAGCTGCAGCTACCCCATGTGCACCCAAAGTAAGTGACACACTCAAATGACCGGAGAACACCCAGGCTCCTATGGTGGAAAGAAAGATTCCTGGCACCTGAGGGCGACTCACCGAAGACTGGACACCTAGATTTATGCCTGAAGTTGCTTACTTTTTAAATTCTACACCGCAGCCAATCTGATGTCCAAATCACTGCGCAGCTGGGAAGGTGGCAAGTACTCCGAGTATCTTGTTTAAATAACTTACAAAAGGACACTTGAGCTTGATTCTATACACCCATAAAACTGGACCATGTTCTAAGATTTCCAGGCTCTCATGTTTGAAATGTTTCTCTTAAAAGACACTATTGCAAGCCTGTCTATCTAAATACTTTAGGCTAAATTCTTTAATCCATTAGTATCTAAATATTTGCATGGTAATGTTAAATTACATGAAGGCACTGTATTACCCCAGCTTCTGTTTTGAATTAATCAGCAGGGCATTAGTTTAATAAGATGGTTATATTACTGTAATCCCAAAAAAGAACACATCTTACGTAATGGAAATAATGGCGTTGGATATTTATACATATTAAGACTGTGACATACTGAAAAAACATACAGTCTGTATTCCTTTCTCTCTTTGCTACTTCTGTTTAGCTATTCCAAGTTATAAATCCAATATTGTTACTGGTAACAAAAAAAATAAAAGGCTTAGTCCAGTCAGACTATACAGCTTTGCTGGTGCACAGTTAATAAATCGAGTTACCTGATACAAACATTCAAAACCACTGTGATTTTGCAAGTCACTATACATAACAAAAGGCACACAAAACTGGACAAAAATTAGGTAAATATGTACCTCGGATAATACAGATCTCGAAACATAACTTTGGTTCACTTTAAGCTTTACATTTCAAACCCACCCACTCTGACGATCTAAAACCAACACTTAATGCTCACAAAAGAAGTGGGAACATAATGAGTAGGAATGTCAGCCCGGGAAAAAGATATTTTTTACTTATTCACAAAAAAATAAATGGTTGAAGCAGAAGTGGGATAAGGCTAATGCAAATATTAGGCGCTAAATACTATACAATCAGTTGACAATTAGGAGATGTTGGCTTTTGGTCATAACATTTTCTGGACTAGTTTGAAGTGGTAATTTATATAGTTAAAAATACCCATGTCGTAGTTCATAGGGAAAAAAAAAGCGTTTAAAAATTAAGAAATAAAAATCTGTCTTGGCCTGAACATTATTTAGTACCCAGTACTTAATGGGCTTAAAACCTTTTAATTCAATGCTACCTATTAATATACAATTTCGGGGTTATTGGAAGAAAGCTGGTCAAGACATATATTTCTTATTATGAACCTTTGCTCACCCTTGATTCCAACATGCTCTCAACATAACTCACTTGAACACGTATCTCAACAGTAACTCCCCGATTCATTTATCCCTCCTCCCATGGGCACTTTACTTAATTAACGTAAAACGTTGGCATTCGTGAAAAATGGTACCTGTTTGTTGATGTCAGCCACAGTATCGTCCTGTAGGAACTCCGCTGGCACTTCCAATTTTACTAAGAAACGTGCCAGGTAAGCTCTTTTCTTGAGTTCATTGGTCCTCTGAAGAAGCCAATGTAAGACAGGATGAATTACAGGTTTGCTTCCAGTAACTAACCCTTGGCGAAATGCACTCCTATACAAAAACAACAAAAGGAAAATACCAATAAATCTCAAACTAAAGAACACTGGCTTGGAACAAACGATTTGCAGTATTTTGACATTCCCTCTCCACTTGCCTAATGATTTTCTTAATGCTGTTAAAAGAGAAAACACTCATGATGCCAGTTTGCTATTTATGATCCGATTCTGCTACCTTGAGACAGATAAAAACCCCATAACACATCAAAAGGCTAAAGCCAGCCACAGCGACTCTTCCTTTGCTGCGATGTTCTTCGGGAATAAAGGCAATGTGGGAAGAGTGTGGGTTTTCTAGGTTATAACCTGGCGCAGGAGGGTGCAATCCAGCCTCGGGCGGCTGCTCTGAAAGGGATGGGGAAGGGACTGACCCTGCCAGTCATGCGGCACCCTCTCCTGGCTGACTCCGCAATAGCAGCCGCTGCAGCTGGGCCGAGGGGCAGCCTACACCGGCGGGAGCCTTCTGCGGGCATCCCCTACACCATATCCTATAGGGACAAGGGAGGAGCTGTCTTCCAGGAGTTACGCATACCCACTGGGATAGTCGAGGTCAAAAATACACACAAGTACTGAATTAAAGGTCGTTACCGTATAAGCTGTAAAACAGTTTTACCGTGATTTGTAGACAAAAAGATACTTACAAGTCTGATACACTTCCTGGAGGTTTGTATTTTAGGATACCGAGAAGACTCAACATTCTTTTAGCTGTTTGTTCCGGCAGCTCCTCTCTAATGTCAACAGCATGCTAAATAGTAAAAAAAAAAAAATTAATTATCCACTGTTTGTCCAAGTCATGTTAATTAACTAGCAATGCTAAAAGAACTGGCCAGGTTGGATGGGGCTTTGAGCAACCTGGTCTAGTGCAAGGTGTCCCTGCCCGTGGCAGGGGGGTTGGAACCAGATGATCTTTAAGGTCCCTTCCAACCCAAACCGCTCTATGATTCCATGAAGAATTGACTTTATCCATTTATCACATGATATGTCAATGAAGTGAGATGTTCCATACAGAACATCTTTTTTATCACCAAACTTCAATTCTCTTCTAATGGATTTTTCTGCAACATGCGTATTCACGTAAATTTATTCTAGGTATACGTTTTCCCTGCTCATGGGCCCTCATCTACGCAGACAAACTGATTACTTCCACCAAGGAAGTCAGATATCCAAGCACACCAAGGCACACGTATCTGCGCCCCAGATGCATGAATAATCCCTTCTGATCTTACACAGGCTTCTGGTAGCCTCAGAGGAGAGGGATTCAGTATCTATTGCAACAGCTAAGTCACGAGGTTCAGTGCTTGATCAGTTCCTGCCCTGTGTATGCGTGCAAGACACAGCCTGACTTTGACTTAAGAACACCGTGGTTGTCAAGATCTGTGTCCCAAAAAAAACCATACAGTCATCAGTCTCTGGGGGACAGGGATCCAGTATCCCTGGCCCAAGAACATTTGCTGGTTTGCCGAAAACACACAGATGTATAGACAGAAAGGATTCTTGCCAGGCACATTTATTTCCAGGAAGACTCACATAAGCTCTTTTGGTAAACCAAACACACCACAAGATTATACAGAGCCAGACCTAAATAAAAGCAAATTTCTGTGTCAAGCCCATTTAAGATGTTCGCAATGTCCAACCTTAACGATTCTATGATTCTAATTACGCAGGTCTGAGCACCTCTGCTTGCCTTCCTTACCTTTGGGTCAATCTCCCCCAGAACATCATTGAGCAGCTGCAACAGCTGCATTGACTCTAAGGAGTCAAACGTGATTAAATTGTAGTTCTTCCTGAAGGGCTCCTGATTGAGCTTCTCAACAATGAACTGGATTTGATCACTCATAATCGTGTCCTGGAAAAAACTCTGCAGAAAAGACAGAAGAGATGAGGAGGCCTCGGCGGGGAGAGGGAGCCGGGGGCTGCCGGGAAGGCACCACCTCAGCGGGGCCCACGGCAGCCCGGAGGCGGTGAGCTGGCCCCGGGCTCGGCGGGGGCCCGCCCCGCCCCCCCCCCCGCCCCCCGG